CCATAAAAATCATTGCAAATTTAAACTTCTCAAAAATTTCAAAACCATTAATTATTACAAAACTTGTTTTCAAAATAGTTTAATATCAGAGTATCCCAGAAACAAGTCATAAACACAAGGAGTTGTATGATCACGCCTTTGCCTTCCCGCGATCATCTGATGTACCTGAAACAAAAACTGAAATTGTAAGCCCAAGGCTTAGTGAGTTCCCCTAAAATACCGATACACTGCAAATAACACATATACAAATAACAACATGTATTAGGTCCACAGCTTTACAGACTGGATTACCCCTAGGCCCACAGTATGAGTCCAGATTGCCTTACGGTCCCACAACTCACATCTGGATTGTAACCGAGCCCACAATACGAGTCTAGTATGCCCTACCCGGCCCTCAACTCATATATGGAATGCTCCCGAGCCCACAGTACGAGTCTGTCATTCCATACCCGACCCTCAGCTCGTATTCGGAATGCTCTCGAGTCCTCAGTATGAGTCTGCAATGCCTCGCCCGACCCTCAACTTATATATGGAATACTTTAGGGTTTGTTGGCTACCGCACGGAGCAGTAAAACCTCAACCCAACCCACATAATATGTCGACATATAACATAACTAATGCACATACATGTAATCACATAATAATACAGGTAGTCCTACAGATCTACCACATTGGCATAACAACCAGTATGCAAAACCAACTCATACTCAACATAATACCAACTACTAGGATAACATATCCAATGGGTCGGCATTGGTGTCTTCGACCCCTTAGTATAGTGAGGATAACTCACCTCTCAGCTGTCAAATCGAAGTGATAAACTCAAGCTCTCGAACCACAGCCACAAACTCCACCACCTATATTTACCATAAGACTATTTCCATAAATTTCCAATTTACCAAAATACCTAAGAAGTCAACTAGTCAACAAAGTCCAAGTCAATGGTCAAGGTCAACAGTCTATGTTGGCCCGACTCGTCGAGTGCAGTTCACTGACTCGTTGAGTCCTTCCTAAACTCGAGAATTCGTGAAATCCCTGGTTGACTCGTCGAGTTCCCCTGAAACTCGTCGAGTTCGTGCATGTCTAAATATCGAGAAAACCCCAACTGACTCGTCGAGTCATCCTCCTGACTCTCCGAGTCCATGTAGAAATTTCCTTGCACGATAATCTTCATCGGACTCGCTGAGTTGTCCATGCAACTTGTCGAGTACCTTCAGTCCTTTCTCCATTTAGATGCTTTTTTAAGCCATTCCAAAGCCCCATATTGCATATCAAGCTTCCCAATGCATGTTTATCACGTAAAGTTGCAAAATTTACGTGCATGCAAGACTCTAAAGACTTAGAATGTCAAATCCAAGCTTATAACGGGCTTAACTCACAAGGAAATGTTTATATTTGCTAAAGTTGGAGACTTTATAGCTATAGAGACCAAGATAAGCTCAGATTTGAAGTTGCAACTTTAGATCCTGGCTCATACTCGAAAATGGTTAATATATATATATATATATATATATATATATATATATATATATATATATATATATATATATGCTAAAAAGCCCTGATCTTCAACATAATGAGATCTAAAAGGAAAGGAGGTAAATGTAACGACTTGTTACCTTCAAACTGATGTCAAGAAGCAAAAGAGTCAGATCCACCAGTTCCTCTTGCACTACTCCTTTTATACTTCAAGTCTTCTTCTTGCAAACCACATTCCAAGCTTGAAAATCACACAAGAATGGAGCACATAAGGGGCTGTAAGGGGAGGCTAAGGAGGCAAATGATTCTTTAAATAGGGTGCAAAATCCCGAAAATTAGGGTTTCATCCTTCATCTCCAACTCATCGAGTCGTGTCCTCTGACTCGTCGAGTTGGTCACTTAAACACGTAGCCAAAAACTTTCATACTCGACGAGTCGAGGCATCCAACTCGTCGAGTAGGCCTTTTAATATGAAGAATAAAGCTGAAAAATTAATACTTGATAGTCAGGGCATTACACATAATGTTATATAGACAATTTGAAATTTCTTATAAACGTAAAAAATGACACAATTATTTTTTGTTTATGTATATATTGTAGTCTTCGTTGGATTCATTATATATATATATATATATATATATATATATATATATATATATATATATATATAGGGTTAGGTTCATTTGAGACCACCTATATTTTGTGAGACCGTGAGACGCATTTTTTTATTTTTATTATTATTATTATTATTATTATTATTTTTAGTTAATTCATGTCCCGAAAATAATATTTAAAAAAAGAATTTTTTGATTTTTCCATTTATTTTGCATTTTAAAATTATTTTTAGAATATGTACAGTGTAATATTCTATTTAGAATATTTCACGTATTTTTCAAAAAAAAAAGATTATTTTTTTATTTTTTTATTTTTTAGTTAATTCAAGTTCCGAAAATAATTTTTAAAAAAAGAATTTTTAGATTTTTCCATTTATTTTGCATTTTAAAATTATTTTTTAGAATATGTCAGTGTAATATTCTATTTAGAATATTTCACGTATTTAAAAAAAAAACGGAATTTTTTTATTTTTTTTAATATTTTTTTATATTTTTTTTTAGTTAATTCAAGATCCGAAAATAATATTTAAAAAAAGAATTTTTGGATTTTTCCATTTATTTTGCATTTTAAAATTATTTTTAGATTTGGTCTCACGGTCTCACAAAATTAGAATGGTCTCAAATGAACCTGAACATATATATATATATATATATATATATATATATATATATATCATGTTTTATGGTAAATATAGCATTATATAATCCAACATATTCATCTCATTAGCTTATTTAATGACTAGGCATCCATATCAGGAATGAAACCGGTAAAATGTATGTTACATGGAGAAAAGATCTAAATTATCACTAAATTTTAGTTTAGGACTTATTCGTAAATTAGGGTAAAATAATGGAATTTTAATGAAACAAGTAAGTAATGAAATTGGTAAACCGGAAAAATGGGTCAAATTGCCATTTTTACCGCTAATTCATGCTTTATCGTATACAAATGTTAGTTTGAGATTTTTTCGTTAATTATGGTAAAATTTTAGGATTTTTCTGGAGATTTCTTTACAATAATACTACTTCTAATTAATATATTTTTCTTTTAGTATATTAATAAATCATTTATTTTGATTTCTAATTAATTTATTAATCATATAATAAATTAATAAATCAATATCTCTCTCTCCAAAAAACATTCATATCAATTACTAGGTTTGAGGGCAACCCAAAAAAACATTGATAATAATAATTCAAGATTATACTAATTTAATTATTGGTTTAGATACCTAATCCAACAGATTGATTGTCTCAAGATGTTTTATCTTTTACTAGCACATGAATTGTTTGAGGAAATGCTTGAATGAAAGCTTGGTGATCATTTTCTCTAATGCTTGTAGTAATGGTGTTTTCAATATCACCTGTGTACCTATTGCTAGTTACAATAATGTACTAAAATTCGTTATCTTGTACAGATGGATATTTAAAGATCAAAAGGGCTATGGATGTTGTTGGAACCGGTCATGAATAACATATCTTTTGCATTAATAGAAGCCTATATATTCACTGTTGTATACTTGTATTGCTTTTAGATGTTTATAGTAACATAAATTTAGATGTTTTCTTTATTTATAATAGTTTATTATATTTTTTAAGAAGCTATTTATTGTCTACATATTAAATAGATTATAAAGAATATATTTTCATTATAAACTATGTTTTTAACTAAAAACAAATATATAGTATAATAGAGTTTGATTGGTAGTGAAATGGGTGTGTAATAACATATTGATCCCAAGAAATGGCTATGTTATTTTGTTGATTTATGATGATTTGGTATGCTTGAATTTATCCTGAAAAATAGTTTAGAAGGTTAAATGGTCATTTGTATGGTGTTTATATTTTTTATAATTATTTAATAAGTTGGTCCGGTTATTTTGGATAGGAAAAAAAAAGGTGCTTATTGCTTATTCCTACAATAAGCTAATTTAAGTGTTTGTATAAAATCCAGCTTATTGGGCTAAATAAGCTAATTTTAATAAGCATTCATCCCCATGCTTATTGCTTATTGCTTATTCCCACCGCAAATAAGCTATAAGCAATAAGCTAAAAATCTAATCCAAGCACCCCTTATAAAACGGAAATATTTAATTCAACAAAAAGTTATACTTAAGGGTAAAATAGTCATTTTCATATTGAATTCAACAAAAAGCTATTATAGGTAAAAGTTAAAGTAGATTGTTTATATTAGTAAAATGAGTAAAGTATGTTATTATTTCTTGTGATTTTTATCTTTTTGTTAATTGATTTTTTTGTTGTGTACAAGTTTTGAGTTTCCAGAAGAAGAAAAAGGCAGCCAAGAAAACTTATGTTTCAGCTATTTGTAAAATACTTGTATTGGTTCTTTTTCGGGCATAAGAACAAGTGGCTATAAAGTTAATGAGGAAGCTTTTGAATCGAGCGGTTGAATCTATTTCATTGGATAAAGAACTTGTAAAGGAAATCAAACAAATGGTTAGTTTTTATTTTGCTTCTTCTTAATTATTTATACATGTGAACAATTGTTATTTCTCATTACCTTTTTAGCAAGTTCATAATACATAATATTTATTTTTTATTAAACGACAGTTATATGATTGGTTTTTTGTAAAGTTTATAAATTTATGTAGGGCAAATTGTACGGAATAGCTATCTACGTTAATCTTTTTTACCATAGGCAACATACTTATATCTTATTCCCATAATAGCAGCTTACTTATAAGTTTTTACCCATAGTAGCAATATACTTTATAGGTAAGAATCTGTAAGTATGTTGCTTCTATGTGTAAACAAATATAATAGAATGCTATTATTGGTTAAAGATAAAGCAGATTGCTATTTCCTATGATTTTGGCAATTTAATGTCATTAAACAAAATGATGCAATAAACAAAAAAAACATAAAACAAATCTAACCCATGTGAAACACGCGTTTTTTTTACTAGTTTATATAAAGAGAAAATCTTGCCAAAAGTTACATGTGGGTCAAAGGGGGCTCCATTCTTGATCGGTTCGGGAATTATTATTTTTATTTGTTTCTGCTTAGTATATTTTTCATATTTCATTTGTAATCATATATTTAAACAAAATACTTGTATTTTTATATGTGTACATATTAAACAAATCAAGTACTTATGGTGATAGTTATCACAGCCGTGTCAAACTGTGAATGATCAACTCAACATATGACATGCTTCTACATATTGATCTAAAAAGGCTCGTACAAGTTACAACTTGAAACGAACCAAAGAAGCCATTCTTGGGGTCATAATCTCCAACAGCCTCTCTGGTTGATCCCTGTAAATCCAGTGTCCGGAATCCGAAACAACATACACCGAGACTTTCCCTCTTGATTCATCACTTTCCCGGTTAGCAAGACTCTCGAGCCTCTCTACCACATCCCGAGTCCAAGAGACTTGGCTTTCAGTACGCACTATAGCTATCTCCATTCCCCTCGGAGGTTCCTCAAGCAATGACCAATAATCACTTTCTCTACAGCATACAACCACCCAATCAAATTCTTACGCAACTCAAAATGTTATACTATCATTCTACAAAAATCAAGACTTTTTTTTTTTTGGAGGCCGCGTATACGGAAAGGACAAGAAATCCCTCGTCATCCTTATCAAGGAAGACAACCTCAAAATTTTAAGGTGTAGGCCATCATTCCATGGTGTGCGAAAACCATGATCTAGTCCGTTTAGTGCATATTACATGGCAAAATTTGTGGTGAGGTGAAAAATTAGGGTTTACACGGCGGATTCGAACAGCTGTATAGCACCATCGATGTCGAATGAAAATGTCATGTATTCTCCTGATTTCTTGAGACTGTTACTTATCCACACTGATAGGAACTCTGGAAACCCAAGATCAATCATCTGATTCAACAGCCACCTGAAAAAAATAAACCTAATTAAAATTTGAATCTTTAAAAGATAAAAAGGTGAAATGATGTCTCTACTCTTGTGATGGGAAAAGCGACGGAAGTGTATGCAACTTTTGCAACGCGTTCACCAGTTCTTGATATTGACTTTTATCTTCGGCTTTTCCAGGTCCAACATCTATTACCCACACCTATTTGAAATACGTTTTCGGGTCAAAACAATCACATTAGAGATTAGACCCATTATGAAAAGTGAAAACACACAACCAAATATACAATAAGTTGATTTTAAATTGTGATTTTTATACCTGTTTAGGTAGTTGTGCTGAATCACCATAATCACCATTAGCACAACTTAAAGCATATTGCAATGCCACCTTACCACCTAAAGAATGCCCGATAACAACATCTGGCCAATCCCAATCAAGAGATTTCACGAGATTTGCCAAATCTCTAGCGGCATTTGCAGTGTCGTTAGGTGGGGTTAAACCTTCTCGATCGGTTGAGTTTCCATGACACCTCAAATCCACAAGAACCATCCTCCAATCTGCTTACAAATTCAAGAAGTTACCAAAGAATCTTAATTGACCATAAAAATAGAAATAACAATATCTTTTGGAAACCAATCGTGAATTTTCTTCCGTTGCGTTACAGATGAACTATTTAGTAGTACAACTAAATTCCCAATTCTAAAGTGGTCCATAAAACCTAGAAATCAAAGTCCGAATCCTAATCACAAGTGAAGCAATAAAAAGCAAAGACCACGATTATGTAAGCCCTGTTGTTGTGGGTCTAATGATGATGGCAGTTAGGAACTCACTCACAACTCGCATGTGTAAGACATCCGATCCGAATCCACCCTCAGACCTGATAGCCAGTTCTATGCTGCAATGTTGCATTATGTACAATTGTACATAGTGTTTAGTTCATAAATGACATAAACAACTCTTCATTATATTCTCTCATAACATTGTTCATGTTTCATAATATCAATTCCACATACTTCTTATCCAGGTAGGTATATGTGTGTGCGTGATATGCATTGGATTTAGAGAGAAGGGATTGGAAGTAACCAGTAGAGAGAGACGTAACGAGGGAGGTGGCGAAATCTGCAAAGTCATCTCCGCAACCCAATAAGCCGTGAATTAGGAAGGCCGTGAAACTGTAGGGTTTTTCACTTCCACCGGGTGATGAATTGAAGATCTCTTTGAATGCAATAACCGACATTTTAATTGAAGGAGCAATTTGGTAATTAGGTGCGGGAGAACGTCAATCTTTGGGTGTTGTTAGTCATGCTTGTTTTTTCTTATCATCCACTTTGTGTGATGAGAGCCATCAAAAATCTATCCAATCCGTAACTAAAGAGATATCCCGTTGATTACATATTCTTTTATCGAAACGATGAAAATCCTTCCAAATAAATCGAAATCTTTTATTTTCTTTTTCATTTGAAAACAAAATCTTTTTGATACGTATTATTCTTTTTTTCATTTGGATTTTCTTAATATTTTTAAATAAATATTTTTATATTTGTCATTTTCTTATTTTTCTAATCTTTTATTAATTAACACATTGCATCTCAATTAACAGTTGTCTTAATTGAAAATAGTTAAAAAATTACAATGTTGCTGCTCATAATATATTGTATTTAATATGTTTTTTTTTTAATTTAAATGTTAAATTTCAAAATTCAAATCTAAAATTTCAAATTTAAATAAATTTTTGTTTAAACATTCGTATTTAATTTTTTGTTTTACCCGATCTGTATAATATACATGTCTCACAACTAATAATGTAATATTTTGTGTAATTAAATAACTAAACATAATCTTTTTCTTAGACATCATATCTTTATTAATACCAAAAAAATATATCATATAATTATTTTTATTACTTTATAAATTTGATCACATATTCGTATTATAACATATGTATAAATTATATTATTAAACAATTATAACCAAAATAAATTTTAAATATATAATTAACCATCATACTACTAAAACAATACTTTAAAAACGTTTGAAACATTAAAATTAGTATAATTACATATTTTTAAATAAGAAAGATAAAAGTAAAATACAATACAATATAAATAATAAATTGATATAAATTTAATTCGACATGGTAGCAACGACTATAACATATAAAGTATTATTCAACAAATTCAAACTAAAAGTACATACATTCATAGTTGAAAAACAATTTGTACAAATAACATATAAAGTATTATTCAACAAATTCAAACTAAAAGTACATACATTCATAGTTGAAAAACAATTTGTACAAATGAACTTCAACGGCAAAACCCAGTGTTATTGAACCATATTTAGACTATGCTCGCCAGAATAGTTGAAAGCTGAAAAGCTAGCTAGCAGCTTACAAGTTTACAAGTTACAGTTTCGGTTGAATCAAAGAGGCGATTTTTGGGGTCATAACCTCCAACAGCCTCTCTGGTTCATCCTTGTAAATCCAGTGTCCGGAACGAGGAACAACATGAACCGAGACTTTGCCTCTTGATTCATCATTTTCCCGGCTAGCAAGACTCTCAAGCCTCTTGACCACATTCGGGTCCCACGTGACTCGGCTTTCACTACGCACTACACATATCTCTATTCCCTTTGGAGGCTCCTCTAGCAACAACCAATAATCACTATTCCTACAAAATACAACCACCATCAAAAATCAAAACTACCAGGATAAGACAAAACAGAATACAGAATATAATGTGTTTGGCATGTATTAGCTTTTTGTCCCTCGCAAAAAAGGGTTGAACAAAGTGGGCTAGGGACATGGTCGTATGTGCAAAAGAAAAGACGTGAATGCCCTTCTCGTCTTATAAGGGTAAAATTGGGTTATTGAAAAGTAAAGACTTACCTGGTGGATTCGAACATATGTATAACACCATCAATATCGAAAGAAAATGTCATGTGTTCTCCCGATTTCTTGAGACTGCTACTTATCCACTCTGATAAGAACTTTGAGAATCCAAGATTCATCAAATGTTCTACCAGCCACCTGAAATGTAATCTTTAACTTTAAGAAGATAAAAAAAAAAAAAAAAAAAAAAAAAGACAATTTTTTCAGTTTATGATCAAATAAGGGAAATTGGGTCTCTACTCTTGTGACTGGATGGGAGACCGAAGTGTCTGTAGTGTATGGAAAACTTTCTCCATTTCTTCATAATGGCTTTTATTCTCGACTTTTCCAGGTACACAATCCAATGCCCACACCTAATTCAAATTAGCTTTAAGCCTTAAAATAACCAAATTCATAAAAGATTTCTGTGAAAACCTGATTATTGAGATAATTATACAATTACATAACAAATCTTTAACTTTGAGAACCTGATTGACTAATTAGACATTCATTTGTTGATTTTAAATTGTGATGAAATCGTATTTCACATATTTGACTAATAGTCAAACAGTTCTAATCATACGGTCATACCTGTTTAGGCAGCTGAGCTGAATCACCATAATCGCCATGAGCACAACTTGAAGCATATTGCAAGGCAATTTTGCCGCCAACAGAATGCCCAATGACAACATCTGGCCAAGCCCAATCAAGGGACTTAATGAGATTTGCTAAATCTCTAGCAGCATTTGGTGTGTTGTGAGGTGGGGTTAAACCTTCTCGATCAACCGAGCTTCCATGGTTTCTCAAATCCACAACAACCATCCGCCAATCTGCTTATAAATTTGATATGTTACCAAGTAATCCTTAAAGAGTAACTATGTTTTATTGCTTTACATATGTGATTGGTTAGTTGCAGGTGAACTATTCAGCAATATAACAAAATTCCCAATTCTGATTCCGTCCATAAGACATGGAAATCACAATCGCAATCACATATGAAGCAACAGAAAGTGGAGATCATGATTATGACTGTTTTTCACATCAGAAAACGAATAGCATCACTACATAGAACAAAAAAGAGAAACCGAGTATCGTCAAACCTAGTCGATTCCAGATTATCCAGCTAGGTGTAATGTGTGTGTACAAAATGCATTAAATTTAGAGAGAAGAGAGTAGAACCAGTAGAGAGAGACGAAACGAGGGATTTAGCGAAATCTACAAAGTCGTCTCGACAACCCAGTAAGCCATGAATTAGCATGGCAGTGAAAGTGTAGGGTTTTTCAATTTTACTGGATGATGATGAGGAATTGAAGATCTCTTCGAATGCAATAACCGACATTTTGAAGGATGAAATTTGGTTCTGGAGAACGTTGATCTCTTTGTGTTGCTAGTCATGCTTGTTTTCATAATCATCCACTACACCGACTGTCCAAGAGAGAACGACGTAGAGTTTCTGGATAGATTAGTTTAAATTTGGGAAACCGAATAAAGTTTTACAGTATTCAATTTAACCTTGACCGGTCAACCGTTAATCCCAATTTAACCTTGTCCGATGTTTGTTAGTAGTAATAGAGCACTATTGGGTTTTGATGACGAAAATTGAAATTCTAACTTTGGACGAAAAATGAGTTAAAAGACATTAGTCAAAATATAGATAGGTGAATATTTATGGTGAAATTTTAGTAGTTATAAAGTTTAATATTGTTAGTTGTGTTGGTTATGATAAATGTATATAGTTGAAGAAAAAAACGTTACCCATACAAATGTTTAAATCTCGAAATAACTTGTTTATGACTTGAAATATTGAATGGATTCAAAATCGAATGATGTCGTAAAGTATTGCTTTTGCATCGTATAACAAACTTCTATGTTGTACAACATGAACAAAAATGGTTGAATAGATAACAACACTTATCACACAGACAACTATAAACATAACAATAAACACTAAAAACCACAAATTGAAAAGATAATGTCATTAGATATCAAACAAATCTATAGAAACAATTATTGTCAGAATATGACATAGTTTTATTGAATATTTACCGATTATTGTATATAAACATAATGTGTGGATTGTAGTTTATAATATGGACATAAAGCTATAAAAAGAGAGTTTAGGTTTACTCTAAGTATGTTATGATAAGATCAAATAGTTTCATTGCTTTTTGGCATGTGTTCCTTCATCTACTTCGCCGTGGTTTCTTTATTTTTCTTGTTTTGGACGTGGTTTTTTTGGTGTATCTGTCAAATGTAAGATGTTCATTACATGTATGAATAAAATAAATTGCTATAAGTATTTTTACCTGTATCTTCCATTTGGAAGCGTTTTCCAGTTTCACGTGATTTAGTAGGGGTGAGGGACTCCATAGTTGTTGTGGTTTGTTGTTCCATTGGTGTTGAACGTGTAGTTTGTGTTTTTTGTGTTGATAATATTGTTGGTTGTGGTGTTTTTATGTCTTTGATTGTGGTGACTGTGAAACGGATATTTTTGATGGAAGAAAGTTTTGTGCATTCTACATAGACATTCTTTGTCAACCATTTACAACGTTCGAGAGGTTTAGGTAAAGTTTTTCTATCTTGACTGGGAAAGCCGTCTATGATTTCTTGTGCAGTTGCATTTAGCAGACTAACGGTTGCTTCATTAGACATGAAAATTGTTGTGGTATCTGTATTGTCTGTGAGTACTGCTGAGATTTTATATTTGTGGAAAGAGAAGTAATTTTAAGTGCGATATATATATATATATATATATATATATATATATATATATATATATATATATATATATATATGGTAAACATGAGAGGGAGTACTTACAAAAGTTTTGGTTCATTTATGGGCCCATGGGAAACACAAAACCATCCATCACCTTTTTTGTGTGTTGATTTACCACATGTGGTACATGTAACGTGGTACCATTCATCTTTGAATGTGAAATCAGATAGTATGGTCTTTATAACATATACATTGTCCTTGAACATGTTATAGATGTATGTTAGTGATTGTTATGTATGAAATAGTAGTATTATACATAAGAAAACGAATTACCATTATTTGAGAGAAATTTGAGCTCTTTAATCGTTGTAATGTAGTATTTATCACATTTGGTGATGATTTTGAGTGAAATTGGGTACCAAATCTGTATTAATGGATACTTGTTAGTGATTATATGTTGTTTACTATGTAGTTTATAGTTTGGTAAGTATGGTTAAGATTTGGTAGAAGCAGTATAACATACCTTGTAATGAGTGTGTCCGTTTCTGGTAAATTGGGATTGACGTACATGTGTGTTGCGCTGCTGCTTGTCAATGTTAATTGTCCTGTGTAGTAAGATGGTATTTTAGCATAGTGTGAAGTGAGTATTATAATAAGGGTCTTTGTTATTACTTACAATTGTACATAGTGGATTTGAGATTGGTGAAAGCGAGTACCACTGTGTTAGAGTTTGATGTAAGGGCATTTCGATTGAATTTGTCTGGCGAATCTATGCATTCCTTCCATAAGAGTATGGTAATCTCCTCCGCACTTGAACCAGTTTTGTCATTAATAATAATTAAAGGAAATATCTAGGTAATATTTTTTTTATGAAGAATATTTACTTACTTTTCATCTGTTAAAGTCATAAGCATGAATGGTTCCTTGTCTTTTTTTTTTCGATCTTTCATGTTGATGAGTACCCCTATGAAATCTGAATGTAATTGTAAGCGTAATATTAGTGACAAATTAGACTATTACAAATTTTTTGCATTAAAGTAATGATATTTGGGTTGATGTTATAAATGTACCTGGATGCTCTAAGTTTTTGTCTGCTATCATTTGAAAGTGTGATCTTGGACTAAAGCGGAACCATGTTAGTGGAAGTGTATTGCGATTTGGTATTTCCTCAATTGTTGATGCTTCACCAATATTCATGTGTACTGGGTGATCTAAGACCTTCTGATATTTGTCTGGCTCAGTGCATGTATAGTCCTTAATACGATAACATCGAGTGACTAATAATGAAGTTTGTATCGATCCTTGATTTGTCTTTCGAGCAAGTAGCTGAATTGTATCTCCCTGGTCAAATAAATGTGTTAGGGTGTTTTATATATGAATTACTTTTTTATAAGAGTGAATTATATATATAAATATATATATATATATATATATATATATATATATATATATATCCTTACATGCTCATCAATCACGATAAACCATGTCTCATCCTTTCTGAATTGTAGTGTCCATTTTCGTAAGACACGGACTTCAAGTGAATTTCCTGGTGAGCCAAAGTGGAGGTTTGATATTCTATCCATATTTGAGGAGATTGCTCTGCAATTATAAAAAAACATTGTTAAAATAGTTTTAAAAATATGATCATTATTTCATACCATATATTTTAGGTATTAGATGTTTATAATAAGTATAAGAGTAAATTACTGAAATTGTCCCTATGGTTTGGTTAAAATTGCACGTTTGGTCTCTAACATTTTTTTTTCACATAAATCGTCCCTGTGGTTTTATTTGTCACGTTTTTGTCCATGTGGTTTGATTTTGTTGCATTTTTCATCCGTTACATACATAAAGTTAGGGACCAAACATGAATTTTTTACCAAACCTTAGGGACGAAAAACGCGACAAAATCAAACCACAAAACGATCCGATTGCAAATAAAAAGTTAAGGACTAAACGTGCAATTTTGACCAAACCACAGGGATGATTTTAGTTATTTACTCTAAGTATAATTGCAAAACTGGTAGAAAAGATGAGATTTTGGGTAATAGAATTATCTTAGCTATTAGACTGATTTGAAAACATAAATGTGGTGTAATAACCTCTTGCATATTAACTCTTGCTAACAAATCTTTGAAGACGACATTTCTGGTACAATTGAATGGTAATGTATCTTCTTGTTGTAGTAGAATCTTTATCGAATCTGGTGAGGTAGCTCTTGACAAAGCCACATATAGTTGTCCGTGTGTGAAAACAGAGTTTTTGAGGTATAAACCTACCTTTTTAAGAGATTGGCCTTGACTTTTGTTTATAGTCATTGCATAACACACTTTAAGAGGAAATTGTTTTCTGATAAATATAAAAGGTAGGTCAGAGGTATTATGTACAAATTTTATTCTTGGAATGTACACCCTTTTCCCAATAGATATTCCTGTTATTATGGAAGCTTCAATCACAGATGGTAATAATTGTGTAACAATCAAACGTGTTCCATTACAAAGACCTTCTCGTTGATTGATATTCCTCATTAGCATAACTGGGGTATTAACTTTCAAATTTAATGTATGTGAAGGAATACCAGAAAAGTGCAGATTGTTTAAATAATCTTGGGGATATAAGGTATCTAATTCTAAGCTATCATGAGTTTGTGACTTAATAGAATCACAGTTGTTGTATACTATCCCTTGACTATTAGTTTTTGAAAGAATTAAAGCATTGACTTGATCAGTTGTTTCATTTTTTGGACAAATAATGGCTCTAACAGATAACTCTTCAGGTGATGGATTGGAAATTATATCTTTGCCATATACAAAATGTATTAGTGATTCTAATTCGTTGTCTCCTGATTCGATAAGGAAACAATGAGGTATTTGTATAACGTTTGTGCTTTCTAGATCATTCTTTTCTGGTGTTCCGATATTTCCATTTCCAATATCGAGAAGCCACGAAGCAAACTGTGATATTTGATTAACATCCATATTTGGATTGACTGGTTGTGATAAACGCATATTATGATGCAATTTGAATACCGTAAAATGTGACCATAGATAGGAATTGGGTAGGGTTAGGCCAATTATTTGTGATTTTCTGCTTTTAGGTTGAACAGGAAGAGTTTGTCGAAAGTCACCTCCTAAGAGCATTGACATCCCACCAAAAAGATGGTTATCATCTTCAAGGACATCTTTTAGTGATTTATCAAGAAACTCAAAGCAACGACGATCACTCATTGGAGCTTCATCCCATATGATCATAGAAGTCCTCTTTAGGAGCTCTGCAAGCTGCGTTTTTTTTTTTAATATTACAGGAAGACTTGTCTGTAAAGTCAATTGGAATAACAAATCTAGAATGAGCAGTACGACCTGAAGGCAACAAAAGGGATGCAATGCCTGAGGCGGCAACAGCAAGTATAATCTTTCCCTTAGATCTGAAATATGAAAGTATAGTTGTCCATAAAAAAGTTTTTCCTGTACCACCAGATCCATATACAAATAATAGCAGTTGCTTTTTCTTTTGTTCAGCATCCACAACTTTTTCATAAATTGTAAGTTGATCCGGATTCAATTGTGATACCATGGATGTATTTTGAGAAATTAACATATTTGTATCATAATTAGTCTCTTCAAGTATAAGACGATTTTTTAGAATGGAAAGAAGAGATGGAGATGGCATTGGCAATCCAAAGTCAGCAAGTGATTTGGAAGGTGTTGACGCTAGTAGTGTTTTTTGAATTTCGAGAAGTATTTGTTGTTCTAGTGTATCAACATGTAGAACTACTTTTGGATCTGTAGAATTGGAAGTGAATGAATGGGTAATGTCATCGTCCATTTAAGGTTTTGCGGTTTCCCATAACAAAAGAGGGTTTCCTACTTCAAAATACAAAAGTAGATGGCAGAATAGAGAACGAAGTTGAGATGAGGTTGCCCAAGTTGACGCTTCTTTAAATGTTGTTAGCCACTCCTTATCGTCACCGGTTAACCCTAATGCTTCACATGCATCACGAAAAGTAGAGTACGTGTATTCACGAACGGTTCTAATGTCATAGAATGATTTACATCCTTTTTGATGGAATAGTAAAATTCGTAGATAGAATAACTCCCCAGCTGTTGGATGTACATATGCAAGTCTGCCAATGGTGGTATTTGTTGTGGTAGTCCTATGAATCCATCTCTTATCTTTGGTGTCCCAACTATATTTACAAGGGTAATCATTGTATGTCAAGTCAATTCCTCGACCATCACGTTGATTATTGTGCAACCATTCCGTTAAAGTGGTAACACCAAAACCTGGGTTCTCAATTAAGGAGCTTAATTGACTGCTTTCTTTGAAAATAGTAGGTTGCATCCCATCCAAATGGACGACCAAGACTTGTACAGGTGGATCTCGTTCATGAATGGGGAAATTGAGGATGCGCCATGCTGCTTCGTGTGGACATATGTACCGACCATCAAGAAATGACTTGATTTCATTTACAGTGACAGGTATGGTAGAGGAAGTAGTAGGAGTATTTGCCTCTGATGTTTGAAGAGTGAAACGAACGCGATCAACCCCCTTTGATATGTACTTAAATAAGTACTTAATCATCATATTCCAACCACAATATTCAACATTGATGTGAGCATCAAATCGACTACACAAACGTTTATTGTATGGCACTACATAGCCATTATCAGTTCTAATCCCACTTTGTAGGACATGATATGATCCAACACGTCTCTTATAATGCACGTAACCATTTGCATCAAAAGTTGTTAATGGGTTGAATGGTTTTGGAAATTGTTTCTTACATCTATCATCTACCATACAGGGGGCACTAATATTTAATGAACCACAAGGACCATGTAGCATGCATGTAGTAACAGTCCTATATAGTGTTGGTTCAAGTATCGGATCAGGAAGCTCAGCGGTTATGTATTTATCAATATCTGCACCTTCTTGAATTGTATAGGGTGACGTTACCCATAATAATGTATGGCAATGTGGTAAACCCCTTTTTTGGAATTCAATTGTGTAAAGATCTGTGAATAGAATATTTCATAATGATGTTATATATGACATAAAGGAATAGAAGGCAATAAATAGGAAGAATGAAATAAGAGTAGAAAAACTTACATGCACTAACTTCTCCAAAAGTTTTGTCCTCTTTAAGGAAGTTAATGAAAGCATGAACTTTGATTTTAAAGATGCGTGCAATGATATCTGGTCTGTTTTGAATATCACGTTGACCAATAGCACCCATGTATCTTCTATACTCAGGCCATTTAACATTGCAAGTGAAAGTGATGAAATATTGTGGCTTACCATGAACCTTGCATATGGCAAGAGCGTCTTGATAGTGTTTATACATATACCTAGGTCCCCCAACGAAAGTTGCAGGTAGAAATACACGCTTTCCAATGACTTGACTGTCTGAATCACCTCTGGACAAAGCGTCATAAACTCCGCTGATGTACTCTATTCGTAATTGTTGTTGATGGTGTTCAATAAAGTCAAGCCTAGATTGTTCAATGCAAGTATATGCATCTACTAAATACTGGTGGAAAAGACGGTGTGCACGTAAAATAAGAGAGTATGTGTGTCGATCATGAATTTGATAACTATAATACATATTATTTGTTAACCTTTTGTTAGCCTTAATATGTAGATGCAAGCTAGGAGACCATCCTTCTTCACCATACGGGAACAGTAATGGATATTGCAAAGGCATGTAAGTAGGATGAAGCTTACTGACACATCGAGGTGACCCAAACTTTGAATAGATGACAATGTCATAGACAGTGCTAGTAACATCATCACCACAAACAATACAACCTAAAGTTCCAGGGGCTGGTGGACCATATCTTCTATCAGGTACAACATTAAATAAACGTACACCATATGAATCTAAATTCATTGACTGGGCTATTTCTTTCGCAGTCTTAAATGTATGAACATACTCATTATGTGTGCGTAACATATGACTTAAGGATTCTACAACTTCTGCAGACAAAAGTACTTCCCCATCATGAAAAGAACGAAGTCTATTAGCGACCTCATTTTCAGTATCACACATGTACAATTGGAGAAAACGGGGTTGATGAATGTCTTGAGGATAAAAAGAGCCTATCCAATGGTAAATCTGACCACTAACCTTAAACACATATGGTGAACGACCTTTGTTGATTGAGTCGTCTTCGTTTGCACCACAAGACGTCATAGAGAACATGGAATTATATGCTCTTATGTTACGCATGAAGTGATCATCTTCGTAGAATTGCATAAGCACATCAGGCGGATGAAGAGGGTAAGGAAGAACTACATTACCCGACTTACAACATTTTGTATATTGCGGATGATTGGCTCTGGATAAATACAATACTCTCTCTTGATACCAAAAATAAGCTCCACAATACTCACATACACAGGTACAATTTCCACAGTCATAATAAAAAGGCAACGCTGGTATCTCCACTAAAAGTGAACTCCTGCGTGAACGACGTATTTGACGGGGGACTATTGTATTGGAAGTAGAAGCCATATGTCGCCGTTTTGGAGGCATGTGAAGAAGGCTTTACAGAAATGGAAATCAAAATTTATTGATGCTTACATACTTTATATGTAAATGAAATTGAAAATTAGACTCAAAAAAGGTATTTTTGAAACTAACTACTTTGTTTAGTTACCAATTGTTAGGTATTTATAACACACGTTTAAATAGGCTATTGTATATTGTTTTAATCGATGGAATCTTAGTATATCTACTAGGTAGAGGTGAATATGAAAAGGAGATAAACAAAAATTTTACCATTCTATATTCACAGTTATAGTTGAATGCAAAGGCTCCATGTGTATTTGTTAGAAGTCATCTCACTCGATATTATTAGGTCTTGTGAATAAATTGACAAATAGACAAATTCCTGGTATCATATGGGGCATGTTATCTAGGAAAAGGTTTTTGTTACATAGTTTTGTTTATTCATGACCAAATTTACCTTAGAACCTTATAAATATGTTGATCTGTTACTTGATTAGAGTTGTTGTATGGAATTTTCTTAGGTTTGTATCATATTTTTTTATTTCTTTGTGTTATATAGTATAATAACAAGTTATGTTATTTTTTGTAGGTAAATTTTTTCTTCTAGCATTACTAAATATGTTCTAGTGCATTATTTGTTTTGTGAAAATGCAATATTAAATCATAGAATTTGATTAGGGTTTTCTTTAGTTGTTATTAGGTAAAATATTCAAAAAAAAAAAAAAAAGTTAGTGGCATTATTGTCATTGCAGAAATGTATGTTAAATTGTCTAAAATTTAAAAATATTGTAATATAACTTGATTGTTAGCGGTATGTTGTATGTTATAGAAATTATTTTTAGATTGAATAAACTTGGAAGGAGAAGATCCAAAAAATAGCAATATACTATATGTATATTATTATACATTACAGCTATGTAGTTTTTTTATTGAGTAATGGTTATGCGTACTATAGAATGTAATGAGAAACATACCTTTTACATAAACTTTCTTTCATAAATTTACTAATGTGTATAATTTATGTTTAAGTTAAATAGTTTAAAAGGTATTGAATTTTTTTATTAGAAAAGGTATTCGGTCAATTTTCTTAGTATTTGCAAATATGGTTAAGGGCATTATTCTCCTTTGGTCAAAATGGATCTTCCGTCTTGTATTTGCAAATTTCGTTAAGGGCTTTATTGTCCTTTGGTCAAAATGTAATATATTTTTTTTTTCATATAACTACATGTAAACTCATTATTTTTTATTCATACCTGCTTTTCATAGAATTTCACTTAAAATGTTTACAGTATCCTTTCTCTCTTCTTCAATTGTCATATACAGTGTTCAATCCTATCTCTTTTCTTGCAATTGTCATTTACAATGTTGAGACCTAAAACATTTGAATATTTTTATTTTTGTATTATTTAATTTTTTTGTAATCGGTAGAATCATCATTTATTTTTTTTGTTTTATTGTCCTAGCCAATTAACATGTGAAAAAGTGAATGATACAAATAACTCTGGTGATACTTTAATGCTTGACAATTTGAACCCTTATAAACTTCCAGACGGTGTAAAACTATCAGGAGACATGAAAGATTGTCCCAAGGGCACAAGGGTCATTAGACAATCTTAAGGGGGTTTTATATAGTTACCGTTAATAAACTATTGTAAACAATCCACACTTATAGGACCGTGGTTGACCACAGGTTCAATGAACTTAGAAGGAGAGGAGTCCTTTACTTTTTTGTTTTGAGTAATGGTTATGGTTACTAAAAAATCTAATGAGAGTGACCTTTTTATGAGTTTTCGCATAAATTTAATTATATGTATGCTTAATTTTTAGCTAAATAGCTTAAAAGGTTTTCAAAATTTGTGACATAAAAGCTATAAAGGGTAATTTTGTCATTATTACTTTATATGGTTTTTAGAATTTAGTTTTACATTGAATGAACTTGTTAAAGGTTACATTGAATGAACTTGTTAATGGTACATTTTGCAGATTTTGTGATAGAAAAGCTATAAAGGGCAATTTTATCATTTTTTTTGTTTAGCTTTTGTTAAAGGTTTTGCAGATTTTTTGATACAAAAGCTATAAAGGCCAATTTTGTCATTTTTTGTTTAGCTTTTGTTAAAGGTTTTGCAGATTTTTTGATAGAAAAGCTATAAAGGGCAATTTTGTCATTCTTTTTGTTTAGCTTTTGTTAGTTAATAATTAAAAAAAAAGAAAAAAAAAAAGGGTAAGTGACATTAGTGTATGGTTTTAGAATTTAGTAGCATTCAATGAACTGGAAGGAGAGGAGCCCTTTACCTTTTTGTTATGAGTAATGGTTACGGTTACTACAGAATCTAATGAGAGTTACCTCTTTATGAGTTTTTCCGATAAATTTAATTACATATATGCTTATTTTTAGGTAAATACTTTTAAAGGTTTTGATAATTTGTGATAGAAAAGCTATCAAGGGTAATTTTGTCATTATGACTTTATATGTTTTCACTGCTACACTAAGCAAACAAATTTTTAGAAAGGAAGCGGAATATTACGGACGAATCGGTTGAAGGATGTTAATCCCTTGAGATTCTATGATGATGATATTTTGATCAAGGTACTATTGAAGATAGATAAGTTTCTAATGTCCTTTTGGCATTTCATTCTTTTTAGTTTTTTTTATTAGAATAATGCTATCATAGGTTTAGTTTGCAATTAGTTGTGACATTTTTTTAAAGAATATGCCATTCTTTTTATTTTTTATTAAGTATAATGCTATTTTTGGCTTAGTTTGCTACAAGTCTTGACATTTTTAAAGTATTATTTCTTTACTCTGTGTCATTAGTCTTGATATTGGTTCACTTGATTTAAATTAAATTAATATTACGGATCTCTAGTTGCTAATTTTCAATTTTAATTACAAACTTCTCTTCTATGGTCAGCATGCCTCCAAGATTACAAGATAACTTCATTACCATTTATTTATTTTTCATTTTTTCAAGAAAAAAGGGTTATGGGATCATTTTTCAGGCTAAAAGATTATGGGGATGTTTGGTTCAGATACCACCATATCTTCACAAATTGGGCAATGTATAAACTTACTGTTGTTAATGTTAGATATTAATGTTTGCAGAACTTGAACAGCTGCGTTGAACAATCAACACAATGCCACTTCAAGCCATTACCATCATCATCGCCACCCATGTTCCCTCTTCACTAAAATAGAAAATTGCATTATTTTAACTTGATTGTTAAGATGCATGTATGATTTTTAGAGTTTAGTTTTACATTGAATAAACTTGTTTATGTTTTGTACTTGTTCAACAGGTAAAGAAGACGCGTGTAGTCAAAAGAGAGACGGAAAAAGTGAGTTAAGGGCAGCAAAAGGCGACAATAGAAGGAGAAAAAACCACTTGGCTCATTTATAGCTGATAACCACCATATATTAAATTATCGTTGGATAATTTAGAATCTGGGACAAAAAGAATTCCAAGGGTATTTTGGGAAGTTTTTTATTTTTATTGTTAACAGGAGGTAGAACATTCGATTAAAAAAGTTACAATTAATATTTCAAATGATTTGAAGTATTTTGCATGAAAATAGAGAACCTAAAAAGTTATTCTGTGATTTAGTTGAAATGCAGTTCCAGGGGCATTTTGGGAGATATTTAAAGTTACAGGGCTAATGCATCTTTCCAGGGGTATTTTGGGAAGTTTTTATTTGTATTGTTTACAGGAGGCAGAGGATTGGATTAAAAAACTTACAATTAATATTTCAAATGATTTGAAGAAATTTGCATGAATAGAGAGAACCTGGAAAGTTTTTTCTTTGATCTAGTTGGAAAACAGTTCTAGGGGCATTTTGGGAGAATTTAAATTCAAGGGCTTATGCATCCTTCATAAAATGTTAGACCCCTAAAATTAACAGGAGGGTTTCACACCTGGATCTGGTTTCTTTCTGTTTAATACTTGATTTATTTTCCTTCTTTACAATAAAAATATACGTTAGAATCATTTGACATTTCTCCTGTGGGTAACTATATTCTTCTAATGGACACAAGAAAACTATAATTATGGACTCAGAAATTTGATCAACGAATATATACATTAGTATTGGACTTACCATTATGTTCATGTTAAATTATTTTTGTTGCTAATACAAATTGACATGAAAATAATAATTTGCCACAATCATTCAGCAAAAAAGTTTAAAAAAAACCTAATTGATTAAAAGTGGACAAAAAACTGAAAGAAGAGCAACATAGATAATCAATATCGATTACAAAAAAATTATGACATACTGTAATTCCAATGAAGTTGGATACTATGGTTTAGGATAAGTTGGGAGGATTCGTTTTATTTAGATTGAATGAACTTGGAAACTATGGCTTAGGATAAGAGTGGGAGGATTTGCTTAAGAAAAGCAGAACCAACGTCAATTATATAGAAATTCTAAACATACCTTTGTAAACAATAACGTAGAACAGGCTAACGTAGAACAGGCTTATGGTGGCGGTAATTGATGGAAGATGTTGTTGGTGACAGAAACTTAATCTTGATTCTTGGACGGGATGTTGATAGTCTCACCCAAAAAGTCGTAGACGTCGCTCAAAAAGACAGAATGATTAGAAAGGTGCAAGTAAACCAAAATCCAAGGAAATTGAAAGAACGAAGCACATACCGATATTTCTCACACAGGTTGTTGAAGGTTGGTGGCGGAATTGACGGTAGTTGTTGACATAAATCGATTATTGATTTGTGGATGGAAATCGTGGATAAATCGAATCTTGATTCGTGAATGGAACCAAAATCCTAAGGAAATTGAAATATATCGATCATATACACAGATGGATCATTCGTAATTCAAAGAACCGAGGAATTGAACCAAAACCCTAAATTGAAAGAACGAATGACATACCGAAATTTCTCAGACAGGCTGTTGATGTTGGTGGCGGTAATTGACGGTATTTGTTGATAGGATGCTGATTGTTGGATGGAAACCGTCGAGATATCTAATCTTGATTCCTGAATGGATATCTTTGATTGTCAAACCCAATCAGTCAAAGATATGGAAACCTTCGAGATATCTAATCTTGATTCCTGAATGGATGTCGTTGATTGTCAAAAATAACGTAGAACAGGCTTATGGAATCAAACGATGTAAGGGTAGAAGGGACGAAACATTTTTAGGGTAAAGAGGGACCAAATCTTTAATATTATCGAAATTGTGTGGTTGAAATCTAAAATGCATAAAACTTATTGTACGTAAACACGATGCCTTTTAATATATAAGTATAATGTGTTTGAATAACTTTTTATATAATATGTGTTTGCATACATTTTATCAAATCGTGTTTATATACATTTTATAAAATACATACAAACACGTATTATATAAAAAATTATTCAAACACGTTTTTATAAAAAAAATATATAGATACACACCTATTTGTGCACACACACACAAATGTGTTTGTATATATTTATGATAAATAAGGTGTTTGCATACATTTTTTTTATAAAAACGGATTTGTATATTTTTATATAATTAATAAATACCTATTTTTATAACTAGATATTTCATATACAAAAAACTTTTACAAAAAAAGTTTTTATATAGAAAATATAAGATTTTTATGTAAAAATACATTTTTTTTTTGTATAAATATGATTTTATAAAGAAAAAACATATTAGAAACAATTATTTGAGAAAAAAGTTGTAAAAAAAACTAAGGTTAGTATAAATTCATAATAAAATTCTAAAAATTGGGCAAAAAGGGTAAAGTTTGGATAAAATTTGTAACAAATTTAAAATCTGTGCCAAAAGTGTAAATTTTGGACCTAATTTGTAATAAAGTTTGAAATTTGGACCAAAAATGTAATTTTTGAAAGTTTGATGACCTGTTGACCGTGCCAAAGGGTTAGATTGTGTAACATCCCGATTCTCAGGTATAATATTTATTTAAGAAAAAAACATCATAAATGGTCTCTATGGTTTCCCAAAATCTGAAGTTTAGTCCCCGTGGTTTAGAAACATCATAGTTGGTCCCTGTGCTTTCAAAACTTTTGACAGTTGGTCCTTATCCCTAACTCCGTTAAGTTTTATCTGTTAACTGAAGGGCATTTTCATCATTTCACTACCACAGGGACCATTTATGATGTTTTCTCAAAAATTAAATAATATGCAAGGGTCTCTCTCTCTTGCTCTCTCTCTCTCTCTCTCCCTCTCCTTTTTTCTCTCTCTCTCTCTATATATATATATATATATATATATATATGTGTGTGTGTGTGTGTGTGTATGTGTGTGTGTGTATATATATATATATATATATATATATATATATCTTTCTCTCTTTGACTGTCAAAGTCCTCCATAGGAGGAGCTCTTTTCAATAAAAACAAGCGAGACATCAACCATGTTTTACTTTTTCTCTTCCTATCAATCAAAGCAAATAAACAGCCCCCTGAATACCATTGATGTTGGTCCTTCTTCTTCCACCCCATAGGCCATGACAACCTTTCTCCTTCTCTTATTTCTTTCTATTTCAATGCACAACCAAGAACACCTCCATTGGAGGTGGTTTTATTATGGGTTCCTGGTGAGCTCAGGAGCAGCAACCCTTCCATTATCTCTTCTATTTTCCCATGTGAACTCAAGAAACAACCCAAGCAAACCCAAACACCCCAATGATTCCTATCAAACACTTAAACGAAAAGAAAAGGGAAGAGAACCAATTACCGGTCGGAGCAACACCCCTAAAGTCGCGATCTGCTAAACCCCACCGAGACCATTCCTCCTCCAATCGAAGAAGCACAATCCCAAACACCCCGTTGATCGGCGTTTGCAGCCACCATCCTCCTTAATATTTTGTTGCAATAAGTATGTGAGAAAGAACCCTAGAAGAACAGTCGGAAGTACCGACTGCTATCACCTTCATGACCCCACCCGTTTCCCTGATAGGAACCACCCAACCCATCCTAAAAATTGACTGGTGTTATTATTGCTCTCCTGTCGGCTCGTTATTAACAAAGAAGCAAAAGGGATCAATAGGAGCTCACCAGAGAAGTCGATTCCCCCATCCTCACGACCATATAACCCTCACAAGCCATTGTCGTTGGCTTCCTGCTTCCGATCTTCCTCTTTTCTTAGATCTATCTTTGAACCGCTCTTTCTTCCTGTGGATTATGACCATCGACAGCATGAGAGAAACCTTGGAGGCTCGCCGGGATTTGGCCTATTCTCCCCTGGTGCTCCGTTTGCCTCTTCCATATCCTGATCAATTATGGATGGATACATGGTCCCCTATGATCATGAAAAGATGAAAATGCCCTTTATTTAACAGACAAACTTAATGGAGTTAGTAATAAGGACCATCTGTCAAAAGTTTTGTAAGCACAAGGACCATCTATGAGGTTTTTAAACCATGGGGACTAGACTTCGGATTTTGGGAAACCATGGGGGGCCGTTTATGATGTTTTTTTCTTTAATTAATTTACTTTCATAATTTCAGAGCAACTCGACGAGCTGGATGCCCCAACTCACCAAGTAGAGGAGTTATTGGTCACGTGATTTTTAGAGTCTACTTGACGAGTTGGAGGACCTCAACTCGACAAGCAGGTGCTGAGTGAGAAAACCTTAATTTTCAGGGTTTGTGTCCTATTTAAAGGACCTTAAGCGTTCATATCCACCTCCCTTGTCACCTTAGAGCTCTATGAGAAACCTTAAACAAGCTTCATTCGTTGTGGGAGAGAGAGAGAGAGAGAGAAAAAAAAGAGGTTAAATTTGGTTATTCTTCTACAATATCACTCGATCTTTTTCACCTCCCAACTCCTACTTTTTTAACATATTTAGTGTTTTGGTCTAACATGACATGCCATGTTTACAATGCTTACGCCCTAATCCCTAAACAGTAAACCCGACACAAACACAACATGAAAATAAACAAGTTGATATGACATGACACAATAATTAATCAAGTTAGGCGATGGGTCAAGCTACCCAATATGTTTAAGTTTTAAATCGACACAAAATACGATATGACACGACACATGTCACCCCTAATGTATAAACAACAATTATTTTTATCCAAGAATACACATGATGTAACACTTGAATTTGGGAATGTTCCTTTTTATCCCCTTTGTGATTAATTATTTCATTTTGGTCCTAGGAGTAGTATGCGGGGTGTACCATTGGGTACACTTAGCGTACTAGCTGAGAAGCCAATACGCGGGGCGTACCACATGGTATGGTTAGAGTACTGAGAGGATTGATCAAGGATACAAGTGATGGGTTTTGGTCATAAGACATCTTATGTGCTCATACAAACCCTAATGCTTGGATCTACGTTTCTCTATTGTACATGCTTTGAATCCAAAACTATAAACCCTAATTCTAGCATATGGAAATCGATATTAACATATAATTAGGTTTAAGATATTACCTTGATTGTTATGTAGCAATAACAATCCTAATTCCTCCTTGAATTGACTTTGGAATGCTTAGAGTCACAAGTGTCACTCCTCTAATGGCTTACAAACACCAAGAGCAAATGGAGAAGGTATAAAGAGAGAGGAGAGAGGTTAGAATTCGTCCTTAGGACTCCTTGGGAAGGGATACCCGAATTCATGAGCCAAGGGGTGTTTATATAGGTGTAGAGATAGGGTTTCAGTCATTATCCTTATCTAGTTGCTTATCCACAAAGCAACCCATAAGATAATCCTTGAATCCTTATCATAGTTGAATTCTAAGGCCTTATCACCTCAAATTCTTTCACCATATATTTAAGATAATCCTTACCTTATTTTGTAACTATCACATAATTACAAATCACCCCCTCTAGTTTAATTAATTACACTTGATCACAAAATTAATTCCTAATTAATTATTAACCAATATTAATTAACCAAATATGATTTCTCCTTTAATGTATTATTCTTACAACATATTAATAAATCATAATATCCTCTCTCTCTTTATTTATTTCTCAAATCAAGTTGCTTTGGTGAAGGCAACCCAAAAGGACCATGCACCATCGGGTCAAGTACATACCAAAATAGTTATGGACTTAGACACTAATCCAACAACAAGGCCTCGTACGCTGAGCGTATAAGGATTACACTGGGCGTACGATGGTTTAATGAAACCCTAATTTTAGGGTGTTTCACCTTATATAAGGTCCTTAAGTCCCCAGGGTTGGTCTCTTTATCAACCTCCATTACCCTAAAACCCTAATCTTAAACCCTAATAGCCTACTTGAGTGTTCTTGAGCCTTGGTCTTGATTTTTAGTGGTTTATGCTCCTTGAAGTGAAAGAAGAAGAAGTGGGCAAACTCATTCTTTGAAATGAAGCTTAGAGATCTATATTTATCTCCATCTATTGGTAAATTTTGAGGTATAAAGTCCCATTGATCTTTGTATGCTTAGGTCTCTTCATGTTATGGTTATATGCTTATTGTCCCTTTTTGGTTGGTCTTGATGGGTTAATGCCGTTTTAGAAGCTAATCTTGTAGATATGGACACTTGGAGAGTCCCTTAAGCTTAAAGATGCAAACTTTGTGGTGTTTAAGGTGTCATGCATGCATCAAGTCATTTATCAAGTCCTTTTGAGCTTAAGAGCTTCATCAAGCCGTGCATGTACATAAAGTTGGCAACTTTATGTGATTAACCACCTTAAGGAAGTCAGATCTAAGTGTTGGAGTAAGGACCTAATCAATTAAGAGATAAATTATAAAGTTGGCTAAATTTGGTGAGTACGTGGGGCGTACAAGCATGTATGTTGTGCGTACAAGCCCTTTTAGTAGTACGCTAAGAGTACAAGCTGAGTACGCCCCGTGTACTCAGTAGGTTGGGCTTCAATGTGATGGGCTTTTCAATATTAAAGGGTTTTGAGCATTCTAACACTCCTAAGGTGTACATGCAACCCTAGAAACCTTGGATATATGTTTTACTAAGATACATGCAAATTTGGTTTTTCCAAGGTTCTTAACCTAACTAGCATGGCATGGGGAACATGAATCATGAAACCTAGCAGGAAACATACTTTTTCTTGTTTCTTGTATTCATTGAGAACTTTGTGAGCCTAGCACCCCAAATGTGACACCTCAAGTGTTTCACACAACACCACGACTCTTGGAATAACTTTGATAGAAGTGCATTATCACTCAAAATCGGCTAACCCTCTTGTTCTACACATAGTGCCGATTTTGGTAGCCCATGGGATCCTTTATAGTGGTGTCACTAGTAGGGTTACAACATGTAAACCCTAATTGACATGACTTTTCATATTCCATGATCCATGGGTTTATAACCTCCATGGACTATCCATGGAGCACTTTATGGGTTTTAGCCCAATAAAATAAACCATGGATCATTAGCCCACTGTATAAGAATGGATGATTTACAGAATCAACCTCATATATTTAATTAGTCTCCTTTTGATAGCCAAATTAATTATTGATCAATACTAATTAAATATTATTATTAATATATTATAACTTATAATATATTAATAAACCTTAAGTGTCATTCCTCTCATTTTTTCTATCCAAGTGTCATGATGCCATGCAACCCAAATGGACCATGCCAATCGAGTCAAATACATTCCAGAAATAGTTATGAACCTAGACACCTAATCCAACATGTATTAGGCTATGTTAGACTTGATGGGTTTTGGTCATAAGACATCCTATGTGCTCATACAAACCCTAATGCTTGGATCTAGGTTTCTCTATTGTACATGCTTTGAATCCAATACTATAAACCCTAATTCTAACATGCAAGTAATCATATTAACATGTAATTAGGTTTAAGATCATACCTTGATTGTTATGTAGCAATAACAATCCCAATTCCACCTTGGATTGACTTTGGAATGCTTAGAGTCACAAGTGTCACTCCTCTAATGGCTCACAAACACCATAAGCAAATGGAGAAGGTATAAAGAAAGAGGTAAGAGGTTAGAATTCGTATCTAGGACCTCTTGGGAAGGGATACCCGAATTCATGACCCTAGGGGTGTTTATATAGGTGTAGAGATAGGGTTTCAGTCATTATCCTTATCTAGTTTATTATCCATTAAGCAACCAATAAGATAATCCTCGAATCCTTATCATACTCGAATTCTAAGGCTTTCCAACCTTAAATTCGTCCACCATATAAATAGGATAATCCTTACCTTATTTTGTAACTATCACATAATTACAAATCAGCCCCTCTAGTTTAATTAATTACATTTGATCACAAAACTAATTCTTAATTAATTATTGACCAATATTAATTAAACAAATATGATTTCTCCTTTAATATATTATTCTTATAACATATTAATAAATCATATTATCCTTTCTCTCTTTATTCATTTCTCCAATCAAGTTGCTTTGGTGAAGGCAACCCAAAAGGACCATGCACCATCGGGTCAAGTACATACCAAAATAGTTATGGACTTAGACACTAATCCAACAGTCTCCCACTTGGATAAGTCTAACAACTATTCTGCGTATTACTTCAGATCTTGATCTGCAATCGTAGCTTTCCAAAGCCGCTGTCAACTCTGATCATATCAGATACGCGTGTCCTTAGATAAGGGATCATATATTCCTCCATTCTAGATATCGTATGAGATATGATTTCAAATCATTCTCTTTGTACTATATCTCGATTTACAATTTATGACGACAGACTAATTGAACAAATCAAATTAGCCCTAGTCCGGCCGAGCATTTACGTATGTCATCACTAAACCGTCGAGGGGCCCAAAGATATCGCTTTTATCCTACTTTGGATAAAAGGAACGGATAAACTTTGATACAATGCTCGCTTGCACTCACTCACCAAATTACACACAACAATATGTTTTATAACACCAAGTTACTAGTGCGTTTACATATTATCAATGTGCAACCGATTCGCAAGATACAACTCACACATCTCGGTTTCAAGAATATAAGATGTTATCGTCTCACCAATCACTCGTAATACAATTCATGGAGTGATCGAAGTGAGCGTGGGTTTAATCCAATGCTCAAATCATATTCATAAGCACTCATGAACGTTGCAACAAACATTTGCTTATGTCTAATACTCTTTTAGACAATCCACACACCAATTCACGACAGTCTTCATTCATATCTACTTCCAACATATGAACGACTGTGGCCCGTTTGAATAATTCGATTATTCTTAATAAACTCAATTATTCTGGAAGTCAAAACATGCAAGGTGAAACACAAGAATAATACTAATCCCATATGGCCTCAAACCTTTGAGTATA